AGATTTTACATTTTACACCTAAAATAGATCTCACATCCTCATCAAGTTATGTATCTTTTAATAATATGACATAAACAATTTATTATGCTCTTATTTACTACTTCGGAGAGTTATTGTGAATTACCATTATTCATACTAGAGATCAAACCTCAATACTGATGGAATTTATCCCCATCATTATCTCAGCAACTGAAAACATCTTGTCTCAAAGATATACGATTGTTAAATTGGTTTATTTACCAATATGAAATTGAAGATACCATTATGTATCACAGAATGGCAAGCATGCAGACGGTTTATAGCAGGGGAAAATGGTAGAACCAATGAACATTAAATATTCAGCCATTCACAATCACAAAAAACTAAAGAATTGCATTGCCTCATAAAAAGTTAATTAAAACATAATCACATGATAGCTTAAGAAATGAAAGTCAATCTACCAGTGCTTCTGCTTCCATCCCTGCCACCCCAGGAAGAGAACCATGAATTGTTCGACTATCACCTTGTAAACAATGAAATGCTTTGCAACTCTCACGGTTCACAAAATCCACAGAATCAAGGTTGCCTTCCATGGATGAAACAGTTAAAGCATATCTCCGAGCTAATTCTGGCCAAGTAAGTCTGTTTATTGGGAGCAAATCAAGCATTATTTTCTTAGCAGACATCAAGTTGTCTGCATCTTTCTTTCTTCTCCTTCTTGACTTAGATTCACCACCGTCAAGATTAGAATCTACAAAAGTGGCAACCTTGGACTGAAGTTCACCAAGTAAAATTTTCAGCAGAGAGCAGAGAACATTTGCCAAAGCTACACCTGTGCATCCACTGTTGGTATTAGATGCCTGTCTGACATGTGCTGCCTGCTTCAAATACTCTGTTTCTTTTGCAATAAATGCATGATCGTTTTGCTGTGGCACATTTGAAGTTGAAGAACTCCCAAGAGTGAGGGAATAACCATTTATTAATTCTTCTTCAAGTTCCTTAAATGATAAAGGTTCTTCCAGTCCCAAAACTTCAGAGAAACGCCACAGCAACTCCCAAGACTAAACAAACAAAACAAAAATGGTAAGAATACATAACTTGACAAAAGAGTATTCCACTAGACTGCTAGAATTTTTCAAGATATGTTGACAGTAGTAATTCCCATACCTGAAGAACATCACCTATTAATTCTGTTGGAAGCTTTGAGCTTAATGGCTTTCCAGGAGGAAAACAAGACTTCATCCCAGGATTCCTACTTATCTGCTCCCTTGGTCTTTTAGAACATCTGAACAAATTACCATCTGCTTCTTTGTCATGTATATCGCTCTTCCTTTTATCCTGAAGAAACCCACTTCCAACGGTTTGTGATGTCAATCTGTCCCTTCTTTTATTCAGGAATATATATTCTGCACAAACATGCACCTGAGGAAGCTGTTCTATAATTTCTTGCACAAAATCAGCATCTAGTCCAAATCTGTCCTGGTCTAACCACTTTATCAGTGCTCTGCAAGAAGTATCAAGCTCATCATTGCTTCTGATGCTATGCGGGATGTTGATAGGACCAGACAAACAACAAAATTTGGCCAATGAATCAAGAGATTCTGCTGATTCCTCACTTAGTGAGGCAAAGCACGATGACCACATTCTAAGTACATCATGCTTGCAACAAAATCTACAGACACCAGTTTGCCCATATACCTTGCGGCAAGCATGTGCTAAAGTTTGAGACACCATTCTCCATACCGAAGAAGACGATCTCCCTTCTACTAAAAATTCTCCAATGTCATCCACCAGCTCAATATAATTGGTTGTAGGTCTTCCAGGACTTTGTGAAAGGCAGTTTGACTTAGTTTCAGAATTATTCATTGGTTGAGAATTACAAGCTTCATCATTATTCTTTCCGGAATCTGATAAAGCATCATATTCCAAATGTGGGGGGCTATCATTAGAGAATATCAACTGAATATTTGTATAATCATCATCAAGCATACCGACTGGATCATCAGTTTCTACTTGGCCTTTACCATCTTGTTGGTCATAACTTGGCCTCAAGAGGACTGTTGACCCGACAGGGATAGGCTGAGTGGAGCAAGGATATCGTTTAACTTTAAAAAGTGGACCAAAATCTCCACCATCAGAGACATCACATACAAAAAGAGACCCAGTAATCTTATCATGCCAACTCGACCTGTAACCAACAGGCCAGATCTGGCTATTACTATGATAGGAGGGTCGTGGATCAACCTCACCCACAGCTAAAATACAGAAGTCTTCAAACTGAACTGGAAGTCCAACCTGGAATGGTTGTTATAGAAAGATCAGGTCTCAAAGAATGCTGAAAGAGTTGATTGCAAAATATATAATTGAAATTATAATCCCTAATGATGGCAATTATATGTTCACTTTGGAAAATATCAAAATATTAAAACTTACTTTAGCTTGCAAAGAATCATCCGCACCATTTTCCTTTGTGTTAGCTTGTGTGACACTCAAATTACTCTTCAACTTGCAGGCCTGACTTTCTGCAGCCTCAATACCTAAAGAGTACTCGGCAACAAAACTGCTTTTCAAATTTTCTTGAGATTCTTTTAAGTTCTTGACTTGTGAAAACATTAAGGAGTCCTTTCTTTTTTGGTTTAAATGCAATCCTTTCTGCATCAACGCAAAGCCATCTCTTCTACCCTGAGATTCCACCGAATGGTACTTTGACACCAAGCCAAGATGGCAGGCAACATCAAACATTGAATCAAACCCATTTCCATCCAGAGCATAGTATTTCTGAAATGCTGCTCTCTGAATTGAAGTATCACAAGCCCAAAGACTATCTTTAACCATAGAGCTAGGAGTCTCTCTCAAATTTCCACCAAAGTTCAGCTGCTGCTGCACTATATCTTCGTAGCCTGATTTAACTAAGCTTGCCACACTACCAGATGCCTTAAGAAGATCAAGCTGACTCCGCCCATGTAACAAACTTGAATGTGTTGCCAGGCCATTATTTGAGCTGCGAATTAAAGAAGTATCACACGCACTAAGCCCTCTACAAACCACAAACCATATAAACATCAATTGTCACATTATAAACTAGTGAAAGTATACAGTGTAGCAGGGGTACCACATCATCCATACAACTAAGCAATGAATTCATGCCACCTATGCATTATTTTCTCTTTCATCTATTCCAGCAAGCAATATTAGTGGTCTATAATATGACCATCAATATGGCATGAAATTATTGGCTTGTTGTACCTGTGGTACGGTACCCTCATGATATCATAGTCTTTCCTACCGAGTAAGCAAATGGCTATAAACAAGAGAAACATATTATATAACCAAGTATCAAAAACACCCGTCACAGCAAATAAAAAAATTCAGTCAAGAATAAATGTGTTTTCTCACAAAATGTTAAACTTAAGGCAATGAATTTTCATTGCCAAGGGCATCTAACTAAAATTGAACATGAAGACTAAAAGTAAATAAGGTCTAGTTAATCAAGACATTGAAGAAAATCTGTTAAGCATTTTACTCAAATCTCAATTAAGTGAATCAGCAATAAGAAACATTACCATACACAAGTTGCCGCATAATGCAGGCATAATACACTATAGTTATATTGCATAGCAGCCGCTCAGATGTTCAAAGGTAAGACTTTTAGCAGCTGCTTTCCTCTAATTAAAATTTACGAAAATATAACCAAAAGTTTCAAATTTCAAGTTACAGCCAAGCAAAGTTATAGAAAAATAACTCAAAATGCGGCAAACAACAAAGAAGAGGAAAAAAGAAAGAGAAAAAACCTACAAAAACTCCAAATTTATAACAAAAAGAAAAAATATCAAGTCCAAAGGACCAACTTTAAGCAGAAATTAAATATTATACCCAGAGTTGTGGAATTCACAAGTTTCTTCTTCAACAGGCGGCAAGGCATTGATGTCCAGAAGTCCAACAGCAGCACCGGCAGCGCGAATCCCCTGGCCGGAGTGGTGGGGTTCAGGAGTGACGTCAGCTGGTGCACCTGTGACGACAGTTTCGCGAGGAGAAGAGAGAGGAGTCTCGTTAAGATCGATGTCAAACGGCTTCGAACGGCTCTCCTCAAGCTTGGAGTGGGAGCCGTTACCGTTAAGCTCCATGGCCGTTTAAAATTTGAAAGAGAAGAAAGGAAGAAGAGTTTTAATTGAGTGTTTTAAGGCGCATTATAGAGAGGCTTGAGCTAAATTGAGGTGGAAGAAGGAAAAGATCGAAGGTCGAATAGAGAAAAAGGAGATAATGAAGGGGACGAGAACCTAAAGGGAGTTTGATTCTCTGTGTGAAGCTCAGACTCGGACTCAGTCTCAGTCTCAGACATTTGGGCTCTTCTCGGGACTCTCGAAAGAGAGAGTGCGTTTGAGCGTGTTTTCTCTGCCTTTCCACGCAACTAAATGACGAAAAACTCCTCGCCAGTGGAGGGAAACGAAGTCGTTTTTAACAGTAATGACTAATGACATGATTTTGACTGTTTTGTGTTGGCAAGATCATGTTCCTTCTATGGGGGACTTTTTGTTTATGACACGGAGCACGCTTCGCTTCTCCAAAGGAGTCTTTCTGTTTCTCTCTCCCCTCTGGGACCAGACATTGTTCAATCTCATCCGTTGGTTAAGATTCAAAGGAAATATCTAATCAAAAGTTCTACAGTACAAATTTTGTTCAATTATGACCCAAAATTGGAAGGATCTTTTTCCCAGCATGGAGCTTTGTTCCCATTTTAGACATATGTAATCATCCAATTACCAAATTATAACTCTAGAGTAATACTATGCTTCATCATAAACTTATTAACCACTTTATTCACCTTTGTTAAAATTATATATGGTACCCATACTATATTTATGATACCCATCTTATGTTTTATATTTACAAAGATTAGTAAGATGGTTAATAAATTTGTAAGTAAACATAACATTATTGATAATTCAATTAAATACAGATTCGGGAAACAATGCATTTAAACATCAAGTTTACAAAGCTTTACAGATTGAAAGCTCCAGTAGCAATTGCTGCAGTTCTGGGATGTCACAACAAATTGCTTAAAACATCAGATGACCCAAAACCAAGCCACGATTGATCCAGCAGCTAGACCGACAACCAAGAACAACACAATCACTATTCCCGCCGTCTCTGCATGTTGTAATTGAACAACTTTAGGAGCCAAAATCATCAATACACTTGTTAAGTAGCCATTGGTTAGCCCCAAAAGACAAGTCAATATTGTCACTGGAATTTCTGTCCGGAAAAATTTGGGACCATGCAAGCACCCCAAGAATAGAGGGAAAAATAACAATCTTGCAACACAACCACCAATTGCAACCTTTTCATTCTCGAGGAGATACACTGCGGTCAATGATTTACCAACCAAGTCAAACACATTGTAGCCAGTAATCAGGACGATACCATACCAGTCCTTAAGAAGAGCAGAGTGTACATCCTCTGTTATATATCCTGGAAATATGGACAGTGTTACAATGTAGATGAGGATGATTCCAAACCCATACCACTTGATTCTCCTGACAATGTGCCACACGGTTGATCTCCAAACAGGCCCAGTCAAAGAACCTTTCGCCTCTATCTCCTCATTTACAGCCTGAATCTTGAGGTCTTGATGGTACTTAATAACTGGAAGTTTATGTGCAACATTGTAAAAGACAGTGCATACAGCCATAACCACTATCCCAACAGAAAAGTAGAGGTTTGCACTTTTTCTCAGACCACTTTCATCTTGTGAATATAAAGCTTTTGTTACAAGCCGTAGAACTGAAACAAGCACCCCTGCAGTCAACAATTTTTAGAAATTTTGATTAGTACCATAGTAAGTTTCTTCAACTTGAAAAATACAAAATCTAGAGGCACTCCATCGCTGTTAAACCATATTATGCACATAAACTTGGTAATGGCACTCATATTCACATTTGTAACAGGGTTATTCAACTCATACAAATAAGTCTTGAAAGATACTATAAACTCTTACACCAGGAGCTTAAAGCTATTCTTGCTCCTCCAAAAATAGTAAAAATGCTATTGAGCTAGAGTTTGCTTAAACCTTTAGTAGATTAAGGTCATCTTTGGAAATGAATTGGGTTTGTAGATAAAGCACATGTTTGGAAAGGAGTAGGGAGAATGAAATGGAAAGGGAACAGAAAGAATGGAGGAATAAAATACCACTGTTTGGTAACAAAATGGAATCTTGAATAGAAAGGAATAAAATATAAATAGTTTAGACAAAAATACCCTACAATTGAAAATAATCGATATTTATTATTTAATAGAAATTTCAAAATAAAATCAAAACTTTACTTTTAAATACAAAATAATTTAATCATAAAAAATAAGCATTTAAACTCTTATAATATATCTTAGTTTTTTAATTCACAATTATATATTTTAAAATAAAAAATATAATCTATATACTGATATTTTATTCGTTACAAATGTACCATTGCAAATTGTAGTATAACGGTACACTTTAACAATTGCTTCCCTAGCAATTAAATAAAAAATATTTACTAAATAAATACTAACATAATATAAATAATAATTATCATATAATTAAAATTTGTTAGAATAATAAATTTAAAGAAAATAAATAACTGTCAGATAAGTCACCAATCGCCAGAAGCAATCACAGCGCTGAGATGCATCTAACCATGCAGGTGTTATCAGCAACATTTGGCCACACACTGCATGAGTTGATTCAGTAGCCACCACAACACATACCACATCATGCCAAATGTGACATCCTAAATTGATGAAAATCTAAACAGTTGAATGGTTTAGAGTTTGCTGATCCATCTAGTATCAATAGTATGAATGAACATGCAGTGAGAGCAGCAGGAGGTAGTCTATACAGTGATTTCTGAGCCAATTTTTTAGTTCTTAATCTTTTAATTAATATTAAAGTTTATTGCATTTATACTGTATTAGGAGGATATATTCTAATATTTAGACATGCATAAAACGAAAGAATCACGCCTATCTCACTATAGAGGAATTAGGAAGTGTGAGAATTTCTAAGGAATCCCAGTTTTAGTAACCCAAAAGTACAAGTAGAGATTCCTTATAACTGAACAGCAATCTAATTTTGGAAATTCCCAATCCATTCCCTATTTTCCCTGTCAACCAAACACTGCCTAAAAAAATACTTTGCTCTATTTAGTGCAAAAGCTTGAAAATGACTAGATTCTAGGAACACTCATCAAATAAGAGTTTGCTCAAAGAAAATCCATTTGCAGATTGCAGTAATGTAAACTAGCTAACAAGCATTAAAATTTGACTTCCCATGTGAACAACTGAGTTCATTATACTTCACTCAAACTAAACTTTAATCTTAAGCAACTTATTTATCAATCTATTAATTCTCTAACATTCACCATTAGCACCAAAAAAAACAAAAAACAAAAAAACAAAAAAAAATTTAAGAAGTAATAAAATTTAAACAAATTACCAGAACCAGCTGTGCCAGCAACAACCGCTTGCATGTATCTCTCAGGCAACTCCCCAGCAGATCCGATCAACCCACCTTGCACCAAGGCATCCGCCAGACCCGAAAGCGCGACTGCCCCGACTGTGACATAAAACCCGTCCTTCAACCCGACCCGACCCTTTATATAAACAGCATCCATGACCGGCACTACAAGCAAAGACACCACAAACAGGCCCAGACCCACATTGATTCTGACATAAGCGTCCGATTTATGGGCGTAGAAAATGATTATGAGAAGGCAGAAGAGTCCGACGAGCATGTAAGTGACGGCGAAGACGCGGTCGACGGAGGCTTCTGGATAGAGGTAGGAGAAGTAATCGACGGCAGTGATGAAGGCGTTCCATGGGAGCAAGTAGCCTATGCCTAAAACGAAGTAGATTATGTATCCCAAATGAAACGTGTCTTTAGGTGGTGGTTTTTGAGTGGAGAGAGTTGAATTTTGGAGCAGAAGAGATGATTCCGAGTCGGGTTCGGGTTTTCCGGAGAGACCCATGGGGGATTGTTCGGTTTGGTATAGAAAGTTAAGTAGCGTGTCAGTTTGTGCATTAATAATGGGAGATAATTTGGTTTCGTTGGCGAGGCAGGCTGCGCGAGAGATTCGGGGAACAATAAATGACGTCGTTTTTGGATTATCAGGCAACTACTGTAAACAAGTGAATTCTTCACGGTAATACCCTATCCATATTTTATTATAACACTTTTTAGATCATGTGTATTATTAAAAAGGCCCGAACTACAAATCCCCACCCTGGATTAGCAAAACTATGATCATCTCTGGATTCCCAATATCTTCTTCAATTTCTTTAATAAAACAAATATACTTATTTAACTACCTTTCACGTTGTGGGACCAACTGGAGCATCAAGGAAATCTGTTTGATTCTATCTCTTATTAGTTCCATTTGAAGAAAGAAAAGAGATTGATCTCTCATTTAGTTGTTGAATTTCTCTAATTATATTCAACCTCCATATCACTATATCAGAGCTGTTAATCACAATTAAAATTCAATGACTTCATTGATTTTCGTAGTAGCCCTTCACGCGAATTCTGTTAATAAACGAGAGAAAAGGAAATGAAGCTGAATTTGGGAAAGTGAAAATCTACTCTTTACTAAATGTTACTATTTGTTTATATGCAGCAATAACTCCAGTCAACGGAAGTTACTTATTGACTGAAGAGTGAACTAACTCTAAACTAACTCAGCTAAGAATATAAAAGTAAAGTACATGTTCCATTTAATACCCCCCCTCAAGTTGAAGGGTAGTAAAGATCTAGCACACCCAATTTGTGCAACATGTGATGATGAAGAGTCTTGCCAAGGGCTTTAGTAAGAATATCAGCAGGCTGCTCACATGAAAAAATATGGGCAGTAGTGAACAGACCATTCTTCAGTTGCTCCCTGCATAATACGATAATCAATGTCAATATGTTTAGTCATCTCATGGAACATATGATTGGAAGCTATGTGGTTGGCAGCCTAGTTGTCACAGTGAAGAGTAACAGGAAGATAAGCATGGAAACCAAGTTCCGTGAGCAACTGAACTAACCAAATTACCTCACATACAGTAAAGGCCATAGCTCTATATTCAGCCTCAGAGGAAGACTTGGAAACAGTAGCTTGGCACTTAGATTTCCAAGAAATCAGAGAAGAGCCAAGAAAAATACAAAAGCCAGTGATGGACTTCCTTGTCATCAAGCAAGAACCCTAATCAGAGTCACTATAGGCAGATAAGGACAAAGTATTATGAGCAAGAAAAAATAAACCAAGTCCAGGGGCTGACTTCACATATCCGACCACTTTGAGAGCTGCTGCCATATGTGATTGCTTGGGCTGGTGCATAAATTGACTCAATAAACTGATTGAGTAACTGAGGTCTGGCCTGGTCATACATAGGTAGAGCAGTTTGCCAACTAAATGTTGAGAAACTACTGGATCAGGAAGTAACAGATCACTCTCAGTGTTGGTAGAAGTAAACTGATGACCAAATACTGTTGTAGTAAGCTTCAAATTGGACTCCATGGGAACCAAAGATGGCTTAGAACCTGAAAGACCTGATTATGAGATTAATTCCAATGCATACTTGCGTTGGTCGAGGCTAATTCCCTTGGAGGACCTGGCCACTTCAAAGCCTAGAATACACCTAAATCCTTCAGCTTAAAATTGTGGTGTAGCAGCTGTTTAGTTTGGCAGATTAAAGCTGGATAATCACCTGTTATCACAATGTCATCTACATACACAAGAATCAGGACAATGTGAGATTGACTTCTTTTGAGAAACAATGAATAATCTGACCGAGACTGCTGGAAACCACCATTTAGAAGAGCTGTAGTCAGCTTATAATTCTAGGCTCTAAAAGCCTGTTTCAATCCATATAAGGATTTATAGAGCTTGCATACCAGATTCTGCCCCCCTCGCCTTGGAAAACCTTGGGACAATGTCATGTAAATTTCCTCTTACAAGTCCCCTTGCAAGAAAGCATTGTCCACATCAAGTTGATAAAGAGGCCAATTGTTCATGGAGGCTAAAGCCAAAACTGTTCTAACAGTAACAATCTTTACAATTAGAGAAAAAGTCTCTTCATAATCAATCCCGGCCTGCTGTGTATATCCTTTAGGAACCAAGCGTGCCTTGTATCTGTCTAGGGTACCATTAGCCTTATACTTAAGGTTATATACCCACTTACAACCAATGAGAGCCTTACCAAGGGGCAGAGGTACTAAAGACCAGGTTTGATTGCTTTCTAATGCCTGAATTTCTTTCTGCATAGCAGTGACCCAATTCTGATCTTTAGAAGCTTGTGTAAATGTAGTGGGTTCAACTAAGGAGAGATTGGACAAGAATGCTTTATAGGAAGGGGATACATGAGCATAGGAAACAAAATTGATAATGGGATAGTGTGAAGTATTGGTTGTAGGCTTATGATGTAGTGTAGGACAAACAAAATCTTGTGCCCAAATAGGAGGATTGGTATGTCTATTGGATCTTCTAAGAGCAGGAGGTGAAACATGAATAATACTAGGCATAGAAAGAGTGGAATGATCACGAACAGAATTATGAGAAACAATAGATTCTATAGTCTAGATAACAGGAGAATTAGTAGTAAAATGAGGAGTTGGAATTGACTCTGAAACAAGGAACTCTGAATCAATAGGGAAAGGATTCAAGGAAGATGTTGACAAGGCAAAACGGAAAACATTTTCATAGAAAATGACATCCCTGGTGACAAACACAGAATGAGTAGACAAATTGTGTAAAATATAGCCCTTTTGGGTAAGAGAATAACCCAAGAAAACTTAATGACCAGCTCTAGGATGCAATTTGTCCTTAGAAGTTAAGATTGTAGCATAGGCCAAACATCCAAAGACCTTTAAATGATTCAAGAAAGGTGGTTTGACAAAAAATTTCTCAAAAGGTGACTGACCTTTAAGGACCGCAGTAGGCAATCTATTAATGATGTAGACTGTAGTTTGTACACAGTACCCCCAGAAATGAGTGGGAATATTGGACTGAAGTTTTAAAGCCCTAGCAACCTCTAAGATGTGTCTGTGCTTTCTCTCAACAATACCATTTTGTTGAGGAGAATAAGCACATGAACTTTGATGAATGATACCCTGACTACTTAGGAGTTCATGACAATCTTTGTTAAAAAACTTTAAACCATTATCAGTCCTAAAGCACTTAGGAGTCAAACTATATTGTGTATGGACCATACGAAGGAAGTGTTTAATGGTAGAGTAAGTGTCTAACTTGAATTGCATAAGAAACAACCAAGTAACCCTAGAAAAATCATCTACCATAGTGAGAAAGTATCTAGCATTCCCATGCGTAGGTGTTATATAAGGACCCCATACATCCATATGTAGTAAATAAAAAAAAAATTGTGTTTGAGATGTACTATTAGGGAGGGGTAACTTGGTCTGTTTAGCTAGAGGACAAACAGGACAATGCATAGAGTGTAAACTACTTTGAGCACTAGACCTTGACAAACTGGGATGAACAAGAGGCAAAATAGAATAAGAGGCATGTCCTAATCTTTGATGCCATAATGCATAATCATGAGATGAAGATAATGGCAACATGAAAATAGGCATTTTATTCAAATTCATCTCAAAAGGTACAATCTGCGATGATTCTACAGTATGACAAACAGCCTTATTTAATTGTCCTAAGTCTGATACAAAAGTGGAAATTTTCAAATTTGGATTAAAGAAATAAAGACCTTGCCTATACTTACCAATCCCCTTCAATTTGCCATTGCAAAAATCCTGAATGAGACAAAAATCAGGATAAAAGGTAACAAAACAGTTATTAGAAGCAGCAAGTTTGGAGACTGAAAGTAAATTGTGATGGAAATCTGGAACATGCAGGACATTTGGTAGATGTAAGTTATTATCCAGAACTACAGACCCTACATGTTTAAAAGACGTTCTTGTTCCATTTGGTAACCCTACAAGGTATTTTGCATAAGGTTCTATAGCAGTAGGTAATTGTAGAACAGAATAATCAAAAGTCATATGGTCAGATGCTCCAGTATCAATTATCTAACTATTCTTATCAAGGTAAGACATCAAGGCAATAGAATTACCTGCCAAGTTAACAGTGGGAGGGGAAACATTCTTTCTTCCTAGCAATTGGAGGACGTGATTGTACTGCTCAATAGTCAGAACATGACCAACAACTGAATATGAGTTTCCAGTGCTAACCATTGATCCTGAATTTCCCATATCCAATGACTCTGAAGTATGCACCTGATTGGCAGTAAATTTTGACTTAGAGTTTGCTTCCCCTTCAGTGAATTGATGGTCAGGTGGATACCCATGCAACTTGTAACAAGTATCTCATTTGTGTCCAGGAATGTGACAAAATTCACATTCAATGTAGGGCTTCTTCCCGTTATATTTTTGGCGTTGATTCTGACCTTTGCCATTTTCAGAATGATTGGCATAAAGTGTTGTAGTTACTTCTGAATTCAAACTCATCTCTGCCAAGATTTTCTGACTTTCATCTTGATTGACCACTGAATAAGCTTGCTTGACATTCTGTAGAGGATTCATTAGCAAGATTTGGCTTCGAACCATGGAATATGACTAATTTAATCCCATCAAAAAATGCGGTAATTTTTGCTGATTCAAATGCTCCAAATATGCTTTTGTCGAGGCACTATCAGGTGCAGGAGGACTGACCAGGAATCCAACCCATCCCATAATGACTTCAATTTACTATAGTAGCTAGCTATAGAATTAGTTCATTGAGTTAGGTTAACAATTTCACGATGCAACCCAAACACTCTAGTGCCATTCACTTTGTTATATTGTTCTTTCAAATCCAGCCAGACCTGTGCAGCCTTTGTAGAGTAAACTATACCATTGAAGATCTTTTTCGAGACTGAATTAAAAATCCATGCAAGCACCAGTGAATTACATCTCTCCCATTGTGGAGCCAATCAAGAATTTACAGTCGATTTTGTGCAATTACCATTAACAAATCCAAGTTTATTTTTAGCACCGAGAGAGACCGTCATGGCTCGACTCCAAATGTTGTAATTTTCAGCTCCAACGAGCTGCTCAGAAACCAGTACAGAGCCCGGTGTATTTGATGGATGGACATACAAGGGAGAGTTGGAGTCAATCGACTAAATGGTAATTTCTTCTGTCGATGTTACCATATTTGATTAACTAATTATCAAATTGATTGATCTAGAATCAAATTCAAGTCGA